CACTAGGGGACATATGGGGACACTGAGACACTAGGGGACACAGACACTAGGGGACACATGATGACACATACACTAGGGGACACTGAGACACTAGGACACAGACACTTGGGGACACTGGAAAACATGGGGACACTGAGACACTTGGGGACATATGGGGACACTGAGAAACTAGGGGACACAGACCCTCGGGGACACATGGGGACACAGACAGTAGGGGAAACTGAGACACTAGGACACATGGGGACACAGACACTGGGAGACCTGGGGACATTGAGACACTAGAGGACACTGGGACACATGGGGATGCTGAGACACATGGGGACGCTGTGAGACATAGGGACATTGGGAGACACTGAGATACATTGGGACACGGAGACACTATGTCCCCCAGCCAGTGTCCCTAGTGTCTCATTGTCCCCAAGTCTCCCAGTGTCTGTGTCCCATGTCTCTCAGTGTGCCTAATGTCCCCATGTGTCCCAGTGTCCCCATGTCTATGTCCACAACTGTCTCCCAGCCAGTGTCCCTTAGTCTCTCAGTGTCCCCTAGTCTCCCAGTGTCTGTGTCCCTAGTATCTTAGTGTCCCCAAATGTTTCAGTGTCTCCATGTCTCCCTGTGTCTGTGTTCCTAGTGTCTTTGGTGTCCCCATATCTCCCAGTGTCCCTATATGTCCCAGTGTCCACATGTCTATGTCCACAACTGTACCCATGTCTCCCAGTGTCCCCAAGTGTCTGTCTCCCAGCCAGTGTCCCCTAGTCTCCCAGTGTCCCCTAGTCTCCCAGTTCCCATGTCTGTGTCCCTAGTGTCTTAGTGTCCCCAAATGTTTAAGTGTCCCCATGTCTCACAGTGTCTGTGTCCCTAGTGTCTCAGTGTCCCCATTTCTCCCAGTTTCCCTAAATGTCTCAGTGTCCTCATGTCTCCCAGTGTCCCCATGTCTCTGTGTCTCCGGGTCTCTCAGTGTCCCCATGTCTCTCAGTGTCCTCATGTCTCTCAGTGTCCCCAGTATTCTAGTGACATGGGGACACACTGAGACATTGGGACACTGGGAGAAATGGGGATACAGACACTGGGAGATTAGGGGACTGGGCGACATGGGGACACTGACACTGTGATACATAGGGACACTGAGACACAGGGTGACTTGGGAGACTGAGACACTGGGAGACAGGGAGACACTGGGAGCAATCCATCTATACAGCAGAATCAAACTGTGAGTAGGTTGTTGGTGATTTTACAGAATTTTCTCTGATATCACTCCTTGTGATTTACATCATGTGATGTCACGCATAACTAATTAATTATACAAATGATTAAGGCTGGTATTTTTTTCCAAGAAAGGTGGCAACCTTAACTGCTCTTCACATACTCTTGCTTAAAGGAGCACTATAGGGTCAGGAACACAATCATGTATTTCTGACCCTATTATGTTAAAACCACCACCCTGGCCCCTTCTTGCCTCCCTAAATATAGTAAAATATTACTTGTATTCAATTCTGCAGCTGCTGGCTCAGAAGTGGTGGTCTGAGCAAATTACAATACTTCCCCATAGGATTGGCTGAGACTGTCAACAAGGCAGATCAGGGGCAGAGCCAGCACAAGTCCAACATAGCCCTGGCCAATCAGCATCTCCTCATAAAGATAAATTGAATCAATGCATCTCTATGAGGAAAGTTCAGTGTCTGCATGCAGAGGGTGGAGACACTGAATGGCAGTGCTGCACACTAGGCAGTACTGCCCCAGGAAGCACCTCTAGCAGCCATCTAAGGAGCGGCCAGTGGAGTTATTTTCTCTGAAAAGACAGTGTTTACTGCAAAAAGCCTGAATGGAATGATTCTACTTACCAGAACAAATACAATAAGCTGTCGTTGTTCTGGTGACTATAGTGTCCCTTTAAGTTTGGAAGCTTAAGAGGGATGTATGGGAACAAAACTTGTGTGCACTGGCTGACATTAAAGTTAGTTTAGGTAATGCAGACGTTGGTATCTGTGGCATGTCCCCTTTCTTCTACACTCACTACATACACCTTTTCTCTGTCTTAGACTATATACCAAGAACTTCTGCCTGCTAGTAAGAAGGTAAGGAGACAAGTGGACCAGCGAGTGCTAGGGGAAAGTCCTTAGAAAGCATGGAGTGAGCGCATTATTAGACGCATTTATGTCAAGCTCAAGGTGCTGCCTGCATAGTATGCCCTTAGTTGGACAGCCTGCAGGATTGACAGGCAGTCTGACATGCATTCATGTCAGGCTGACCTTCCAATTCCTTGGACAAACATGCCCCCTTTTTGGGCATGTTCACCCCTTTTGGCAGGTCTTGTCCCATGATTCGCGCCAGTGGCCCACCCTTTTACCCCACCCATTGACTTCCTGCTTCACTGGACACTGCTGTTAGGGGTTATGGATTTACTTGAAAGATGAAAGCATAAATTAGAGAGAAATTAGCATAGAGTATGTGTTTTCTTATAGCTGCATTCTATGAGTTTCCCTCCAGCACCATCTCCATCAGATACATGACGCTTGGGAGGTATGACTGTTTTAGTGTTTTTGGTGGATAAGATTCCGTAATTAGGCCCATCATAATTGTCAGCACCAGGCCCACTGGGCTCTTAATCCGGCCCTGCAGGTGGGGCCATATCTATTAAACCTTTAAGCCTAGAGACTTGGTTGACAAAGCTAGTAAGCCACATTGCAAGGTTAGCACACTATGGACATCAGAGCTCAATCTTCAACATGTTCTCCATGGGTGAAAGTCAATTTTTATTTGTTGAGAAGCATTTAAAAAAAAATAAAAATAAAAAATCCCAGAAATTATGGATTGTATTTGTTTTTTCTTGTGGCTCAAGAACAGACAAATGAATACTTTTGATGGTAAGAATAATTTCTTTATTAGTTTATTTGCACATCCCCCACCTACTATTATTAGGGTCAGGAGGGTAGGTAGAGTAATTTAATTTTCTTTGGTTTTGACTAAGTGATTGGGAACCCGGGAAAGGCAGGTGAGCATGCCATTATTTAGTGGGGTTGGACACTGGCATGCTTTATTGTTTTATTAATTAGGCATGGCCTAGGGTGCCCTGTGAAGTGGGGGCACCCACAGTGGCAGTAATGCTTGTCTGGATCCACCATGAGATTATGCTGGCAGTATTCACTCATGGAGAACATAGAGACCCCGCCTCTGCTTGTGATAGTGCCCTCACCCCACTGCTTTGCCCTCTTCCTTGTATTTCAGGTAGTTAAAATTCTTTTAGCAAATGATAGGAATTACGAATGTAACCTCGCCCACAAAAACGTAACCCCACCCTATCAACTAACCCCGCCTTTTCCCAAACATTCTAACTCCACCCCCAGTCTGCCTCTTCCCCCTCATCCCAAGTCTCTGTCTCAAGAAACCTGGAGGTTTAAACAGTAGGCAGTGGAAGGGCAAAGCTGCCATGTGCTGCTCCCCTTGTCCTGTTTCTGATGAGAGTACCATGGAAAGACTGGAAGGATGACACAGAACAGGTACCACAGTGACTGACTGGGCTGCTTCCAGTGCCCCCAGCCCCACCTGAGTATGTGTATGTATGTAATATGCAGTGTGTTTGTGTGTGTGTGTATGTGTCAGGCAGTGAGTTTGGGTGTGTATGGCAGTATCTGTGTGCGTGTATTAGGCAGTGTCTGTGTGTGTGTATTAGATAGTACTTGTGTGCCTATTAGACTGTGTGTGTGTGTGTATTAGGCAGTGTTTGTTAAACTGTCTGTGTGTGTGTTTGTGTGCATGTATTAGGTAGTATCTGTGTGTCGGTTAGATTGGGTATGTATCAGACAGTGTCTGTGTGTCTTTTAGTGTGTGTGTGTGTGTTGAAATGCAATATCCAGATAATGTCTGGTGTTTAGTAATAAAAAAGATACTCTGCAAGGAGGGTCCTGAAAATGATGGATGGAAAGAAACACAACAAAACCAAATTGGAGGAAAGAAAAAGTGCTATTAATACTTCCCATTTAAAATAGCAATGTGTCATTAGAAATTAATTTGCTGCTTCATACCTCTGTGCGGCTCACCCCTTCGGTGTTACCACACCATGCAAAGAGAAAACATACAGAACAATATCATGGGTGGTGGAATGCTATTAAATTATACAATTATGTGTTAAAACTGTATTCAGTGAGAATTAGGGGATGCATAAGCAAATCATCAGTAATTATATATAGGTTTGAACGGATCAAATAGCCAACTCCCTGAGAGCTGTGAATCAATAGGACTGAAGGAGGAGTTGCCATGACATCCTTTTAATCACCAAGATGGGAGCATAATATCAGCTGAAAATGTCCTGATAAAGTCATGGGCGTGGGCAGTTCGAGGAATCCATAAAATGTATGCTCCATACAGACACTAAATTGGACCCCTTCTACTATTGGTTTTAAGAGTGTGAATAATTCAAAGAATTTGAAAAGAGAGTTTGGGTATTTACTGTCAATAGTCTCATATGCTAAATTCACTATAGCTGGTTAATACACTCTGGGAAATGTAAGTGGAATTACTCTAGAGCACCCAATGTTAATTGAAGTACATATCAGTATTTGGGGCTACCTGCACTGTTTATGTTCTCTATTTTTTTACATGTACATCATTTTGGAGCATTTTCTGAAACTTTTAAAGGAGCATCATTGGAATACTTTTGATATAAGTATTTTTCTTGTTTTTCTTGGAATTCCCATATTCACATAAGATATTATAGCTCCCCACCTCTTATGATTTTGTTATAAAGGTCCAGATTTTGAAGTCTGTATGGCCCCATATGCAGCAGGATGGTTTTGCCCCATTCGGAACTGAGCCATTTGGAATTTCGTGAATAACCCTGTTAGTTATACGAAGATTGTTGAGAAGCAGTGGTAAGAGACATTTGTTCATATAATTAATTGCATTTCACTCTTTCAATCATCTCCAAAAGGGTTATTCATTAAATGGCAAATGTTTTAAAAATAGATTTGAATGGGAAAATGAGGCAAAATAATCAAATCATGATTATGTTGGAGAATGTTTCCAGATCAGCAATGTTTGCCTTTGTTTTTCCACTCAGGGCAAACATTGCTGATCTGGAAACATTCTCCAACATAATCATGATTTGATTATTTTGCCTCATTTTCCCATTCAAATCTCCCATTATTTGGTTTAGTGAATAAACCAAATAACGCTCTAGCTGCTAAGCTGATGAGTATAGTTAAAGCTTTAATTGCTGCTAGCTAAATGATCAAATGAACAGTAGAATGTAAGCTGGTGATTTGGGAATCTTTAAATTACAAATAGAATGGATTAGGTACTGAACTTGTGACCACATATTCTGAAGTGATAGTCATTCTTTTAATACAAGTATTATTAACATCTTCAACAATATGTCGAGAGAAATTGTGAAGCCTTTGCAAGCTGTTCCTTTGTGAGAAAGCACTGGTAGATTAATTGGCAAAGAGCCCCCACATAGTTGTAGCAAGCATGACTCCCATTAGTGCATTTTTAGTCCTCCACCAAACCTGTAAATATATATACAAATTTTAATTTTCACTATGTAGAATTCCACAAGTACCCTATAACAAACAGGAAGTTTTTGGACCAATAGTGGTTAAATCTTTCTAAAGGTTCCTGTTTCTAGACAAGAAGCTCAGATGTAGGGCAATACATATTGAAGTATTTTATTCTTCAACTAAAAGTAATAAAAAGGAATCATCGGTATGGTAGGTAAGGAGGTTGTAGGTTACTTTTAAGTCTGGAAAATGAATTCTTTAATTGTCTATTAAGATACACTAAGGGCCAAAAACAACTTTAGCTTAAAGGACCACTCTAGGCACCCAGACCACTTCAGCTTAATGAAGTGGTCTGTGTGCCTGGTCCAGCTAGGGTTAACCCTTTTTTTATAAACATAGCAGTTTCAGAGAAACTGCTATGTTTATAAATAGGTTAATCCAGCCTCTAAAGCCTCTAGTGGCTGTCTCATTGACAGCCGCTAGAGGCGTTTGCGTGCTTCTCACTGTGACAATCACAGTGAGAAGACGCAAGCGTCCATAGGAAAGCATTCATAATGCATAATGCATGCGCATTCAGCCGAAGAGGAGGATCGGAGGCGGAGAGGAGGAGGAGAGCTCCCCGCCCGGCGCTGGAGAAAGGTAAGTGTTTAACCCCTTCCTCTCCCCAGAGCCTGGCGGGAGGGGGTCCCTGAGGGTGGGGGCACCCTCAGGGCACTATAGTGCCAGGAAAACAAGTATGTTTTCCTGACACTATAGTGGTCCTTTAATATAGATGTTGTGGAGTATAGGTCACACCCCTGCAGGATGAAATTAATCACTATGTATTTATATAGTCATAGCTACACCACACCGTCTGTGAGATTGCTAAATATATCTTATCCCGTTATCATTGTTGGGATGTAGGGATAAAAAAATAATTAGCACAATCGGCCATTTTGTGCATTAATTCATTTCAATTAGTCATGGTAAAAGCAGCAGTAGAAAAAGGAGGATGATAATTTTACAATTACATTTGGATGTTCATAATACTTCTGGTATAATGGCAAAACTAAATGGATTCATTTTCATGTCCATCTATTGAAATATGTTTGGGCATGAGATTAATGGCTTAAACCAAAGATACAGCTTTGTTTTAATACATCAAATTTTGCATATACATTTATCCTTTTCTGGTATGGAGCTGTAACACAATTAAAAATACTTGAGCTCTTTTCTTTGTCCAAATAAAAGTTACTAAAATGAGTTGACTTGTGTGATAAGGAGAGGACTAATATTAGTAAAAACCAAAAGACTATACAAAATAAGCAATAAGAACAGCACCTACCAATCACACAAGGGTGCAAGGAATCCAATTCTGCCAAAACCAGTATATATTCAGGAAAGTATAAATATAAATTCCAGCACTTCATTTTGAAAGTAGTGTCCCTTTAACAAGCTTGATAAAGACTGTTGCAGCAGTTGAAATGTTACTGTTGTACACTTGAATAAAAGGAAACTACTTTCAAAAGGAATTTCATTTTATACTTTCCTAAAAACATATACAGGTTTATTTACTAAAGTGAGAATTCAATGTAATTTTCACAGTAGCCAAACTGAAAGCAAAGCTGACTTATAGACTTTTCCTTGTTCAGCTATTTTGATCTTAAATTTTATTTCTCACTTTAGTAAATAACCAAAAGATATGAACAGAAAAAATACAAAAAAACTTTGAAAAAAATATTGTACTCACTTCTGCAGCTAAAAACGCCCCACACTGCTGCTCATACAGTGGAAACATACAGGGTAGATAGAAAAAAAAAAAAGAGGTTGCGCAAAAAGTTGCTGTGTGCACACCTAGGTGCTACTGGTATTTATTTGAGTTAATTGAGGCTGGGTACTTTCCAAACAAACATAAGGAACTGCACTCAATCTCATCAATCTGAGCCAGGGTGCAACTGAACCAGAAGCAAGCACCAGGTTCAAGTGGCAATAGAATAACATACAAAAAATGGTTCAGGCATGGTTCAGGCACTTTAAGATTCAGAATGGCAAATTTATTAAAGCCCAAAGCAACGTTTCGACCTTACGGTCTTTGTCAAGCTATCAAATTCATGTATCACAGCAAATTTATAAGCACATCAATTAATTAAATCAAACAATAATTAACAAGGTAATTAACAAATGTGAAATTAATAAAGGCAGTGACAGTTGAAAGAGAGATCTCAATAAATGTGGACCAATAGAAGATTGCAAAACTTTCAAACTTTTTATATGTTATACAATTGAGGCTGGGTAGACACATACAAAGTTGGGACATTGTTAATAGATGAATTAGGTAGTCAATATAATTGATAATTCTACAGTGAATTTCTTTGGTATTCCATGTATACATTTCTAATTTCAATGTTTCAATGCCAACAAGAAATGCAAAGGGAAAAAGAGACCCTAGACCAAAGGTCCTCAAACTCCGGCCCCCCCAGATGTTGCTGAACTACAACTACTTTGATTCAAAGAATCATTGGAGTTGTAGACCCTTGTCTAATTCTGTTAGTAATTTGGTTGAGATTTAAAACCAACATTAAATACTTGGACAAAATGATCTGTATATAATGTTCTAACAAAATCAATATGCTCCACAGTGAACCCAACACTTTCAAACATCATCATGCACATGTCGATCCAAATCAGTTGGATCACCTTTTCTGCATCTAGTGCTAGGAACAGACCATTCGTAATGTGTGGAGTACAGATGACTAAGCACACTTAGAAATGATATAGTGTTATCAGTTCTATATACATTATAGTAAGGGCTAGTGCTATTCAGTCATTTGGCATACAGTTTTGGTGTCTCTGTTTATCAATTGGTGAGATTGGTGTGAAATTCCAGCACAGGTGTGGAGCCTTCCCTGTCTTCATTTGATCGTATGGTACAAGCATATCTGCAAACTTTTGGCAATACACACTAGGCAGGTCTTTTCATCTCAGAGCTTAGTTTTTAGAGGCTATCCCTGAAACATTAGTTCTTTAGTAATCTCCTCAGACTAAAAAAGCTACCTGATCTGGCATCTAAAAGGAACTCATGAATTGGTAAATGAAGGTTGGAGAGTCTGTCTGTTGTATTTAAATGCATGTGATATGATTTTACCAACGTATTTGCTTTGTGTTGAAGGTTTATGATCTCTTGGCCATTATCATCATATGTGTTTTTTTTAGAATGAAGACTCATTACTCTTCTTTAATCATGAGGTTACCTTATGTCAAATGATTACCTTATGTCAAATACTTGTGTTTTAATTTCCTACATAAATACTCAGCATGGGAAAGAGAAAGGGCATGACATCTGTGTTTCATTTATATCATTTCTTTTTTGTAATAAGGGACAAGGGTTTGTATTCTTGGTTGTGTTAAGTGCTGCTAAGACAGAGCTGACATCTTTTTGATCTTAACCCCTTAAGGACACAGCTTCAGAAGCTCGTCTTACGCTTAAGGACAAAAGCCATTTTTGCATTTTTTTGCTGTTTGTGTTGAAACGCAATTTGCATCTTTATCATTTATTGCACCAACATATATTATACTTCGTTTTTTAGAGGGCAAACAGGGTTTTAATTTGGTGTCATATAAACATAGATACATTCTCATTAATTATTTTAAAAAATGCCAAAAAAAGGGGGGGGACCCCAAACATATTTTTTTCTCACAGTTTTGGCAATAATATCGTGTACATAATATGTCCAGCTTAGAAAAAGTAATTTAAAATAAATTCATGACTAGCTTGCGATTGCGGCAATCAGGGGTTAACTTTACCGCATGATGGGCCTGGTCCTTCATTCGGCGTTAACGGTTTCCCCGCCATGACGGACCAGGTCCGTCATTCGTCACAAAGGGGTTAATAAAGTTAGTATATTTCTAATGAAAGCTATTAGCTAGTCATATTGAAGTAATTTTTCTAGATAGAATGTTGCTGCTTTTAAAGTATAGCTGTAAATCATTTGCAATATTTTGCTCTACGTCTGGGTCAAATAATACACGTTCATCAAGTCTTCATGTACCAGTACCTTTAGAGGGGTATTGCTCTTAAAATGTACAATATACCTGGGCTTTTCCATGTCATGTTATTAGGCCTACATGTGCAGAATTTACTCTTTTGAGAGTGCAAAAGTGTAGGAGAAAGTGGTCAATCTGCAATATGTACTATATAGTTGAGAGTAGAATGAATTATCAAGTAATATTGTGTTCTGGGATATACTTTGAAGAATATACCCTTTGGGTGCATGTTTACTTAGTGTTGTTGATCAGAAATTCACTTGCTTGCTCAGTTCACTTGTATCAGTATCAATGATCAATAAAACTCTACAGATCTTATTCAGAGGATTTATTCTTGTTACGTGTAAAAATCTGTTTCAGTAAATAGAGAAAGCAAAGCTTGTTAGAACAAAATTAAAATTTTATGTGGTTACTTCTTTATATGAAATGCCATTATTGCATTTTCTTTATTGCATCTCATTATTGCAGTGACCTTTTTAGTGACCTTTTTATAGACCTATCTAGTGTAAGTCTACACTTTGTAGCCACAACATTAAGACAGGTGAAGTGACTGACATTAAGTATATAATTACAATGGCAC